AAGTGGTGGCAGTTTCATGATATGTGAGGAATAAAATTAAACTGAAACCAAAAACTAAACCTAACGGTGTTTATACAACAAAAAGTAACTGACAACGAAAATGGTTACTATTCGCCTTTTTAAGGATGAAAAAAGACTCTATAGGTTATTTTAAAGAAAAGTTCCTTTCCTCCCAAGAAGTTTTCCCAGATTCGAGGTAAAGTTTCCTTCAAGAAATTTATTTCTACAGAGCAAAGGAACTTTCCTTTATAGCGCAAGGAGAACATTTTTTTTCAAAAGTAAAGCTGCGTTTTTTAAACAATAGTTTCTCTCCGTGAACGTTTTTCTCTGTTTAGATGCTAGTTGACGAAATGGTTTAAATCCAAACAGTCAACTATTCGCACATAGAGGTGAGGTATTTTGCCTATCTTACAGTTTGAAGGCTCCTCTCCTATCCGTCTGCGTTTCTCGGCGGCTTTTTAGTACAGTTCTGTCAAACTTATTATTAGTGCTTTAGATAACGACACCGGCTGTAAATGAAACATATCTCACGGTGCCCATCGTTTACTGATAGTAAACATGGTGGCTTTAATGGTGCAAAAGAGGTTTTGAAAATTTTCGTAGTGTTCTCCATAACTTTGAATGAGGAAATGTCTTGCTGTGCAAAGTGAATCTAAGTAATCCAGGGACGAGATTCGTTAGGAGTGCAATTTACTCACTTTTGCAGAAGGTTTCTCGTAACAAAATATTCCTGGCCATCTTGCTTTGATTTTGGAATCTAAAGATTGGTCGCGCCATTTTTCTAGCGTAATTCGTGGAAGAGGGTTGGCTTCCCTTTTGAACCCCAAGAGCTCCATATTTTGATGTATCCGTTAGATACTCTAAGCATGAGTGCGTCTACTTAACTTACCTTATTTTACCTTAGTTCACCTTAATTCTCATCCTGCCCTGCGGGCTGATTATTGAAATTGATAGACAAAGCAATAAACAAAGAGGACATAGGGAGTGGGGAGTGATCCTATTGGTTGGAATAGGGGCTCCTATAGATTAAGGGAGAAAATTATGGACTAACTATCGGGTTCCTCGTGGGTTGCCGTTACTTAGTCTATTACCTACCTTCTTTGTCCATTGCAACCACCCGCTTCCATCAATAGGACCCTTCCGTATCTCTTTTGTCTTGAGTACCTCTATAGGAGGAGTATGGACAACTCGATTTATGTAGCTCTTAGGGCCCAAAAAGGCGACAACGTGACAAACGAAAATCACTAGAAAAGTGCCGCTGCCAACCTTTGCATTTGAAAGATTAGTCAAAAGGGCCGACAGCGCATTCTAAACAAGCGTTTTAAGGGATCAAGACATCGAAACTGAGAAAATTATTGAAAAATCAAAGTTTTATACGTGCTTTTATATTTTTGATCAGTGTAAATAGTTGAAACGAGAAAATTAGTACCACTGGATAATTCGGGTTCATAGGTTGGCTGCCGTTTTGGGCCCCAAGAGCTCCATGACCTGATCGAACCTAGCCTCCAAATTTTCGAGTTGTTCATAATCTCCCTATGAAGCATAGAGTACATAGAGTCGTAATGTAAATGGCAGAGCTGACGCCATGTTCTGCTCGACGAATTCCGAGCCCGGTGAGCGCCGAGTTCGGGTCGCTTTTTCGATACATTTTCGATCCAAAATGGCGGTGTGGAATACGTGGTAATTCCTATCTCCTCTGTTGTTGTTGTTGTTGTCATCGGATGGCCGGGTACCCGTGTATCGCAAACAATCGATTATGTATCGAAAAAGTGACCCGGCGTCACACAGGAGTCTCGGAATTCGGGACATGGAAAATGCTTTAAAGTGGCGCCAGCTCTCCCACTTACATTACGACTCTATGTACTACTCTACCTAGGAGTGTCCATGAGGTGGTCATACTCTCCATCACGGTGTCTACTGAAACAAGCTGGCCAAAAATCAGTACTTTTACAGCACTTTTTCAGTACATCCCCGTGAAATTCAGTACTCCCTCAACAGAAAAATTAAGTACTTTTCCAGTAACTCCAATTGACGGAATTCTGTGGCTCCATCTTCGCGTCCTGGCTCCCGTCGTTTTCCTTGCCGGACGGATTTCCGTCAAAATTTCCAACGTCAAAGGTGCGGAGCGTACGTCTGGTCACGTCACGTCATGGCCGCGGGCAGCGACTTGGCGACTCAAGGCTGCCGGCCGCCGCCGCCGCCGACTCGGATTGACCCGTTCCACGATTTATATTCCAATCAATTTCATAGCCGTCCGTCGCTCGTCGTCCGTCTAGCCGCATTTCCTAGACAGCCGCTCACACGCGGATCAGGCTCCGGCCCGGATCGCAATAATCCATTTCAACGTCACATTATCAACAGTAAATCTCGACAAAGGGGGGTTTTTTCCCCGCGACCTGCAAAAAAGGCGACCGCAAGTTGCCCGGGCAGTAGGCCTGTGTCCCGGTGCCCTGACGTGACAAATTCCCCATTGTTTTTGTCAACGTGATACGAACCGTGGAACCGCACGGATAAAAAATTGAAAAAAACAATCGTTGATGTTTGACATGTAGCGGGCTGGTTGTAGAAATCGGTAGATAAAGTGATAGACAATGGAGACAACAGGGATATGGAGGGGTCCTATTGGTGGAAGCGGGTGGTTGCAATGGACAAAGGAGGTACTAGATAATAGACTAACTGACGCCAATCCAAGAGACCCGATAGTTAGTCCCCCCTCAGTTTGTAGAAACCACCCATCTCAAATTCTCAACCAATAGGATCGCGCTACATGCTCCCTATGTCTTCTCTGTCTATAGTTTTGTCGATAAATTTCAACAATCAGCCCGCAGGATTTGCAAACCTCGTTAATTTTCAGGAAGCACCCAGGAATGAAAAGTATCAAAGAGAACAACATAGGCAGATCCAAACAATTCGAACGGGAGGGGTTGAAGAAGGGTGCGAGGGGCGAGGGGCCTACCCCAGAAAATTTTCTTGGATTTCAAAGCATCTACTATGAAATCTGAGTCCAATGCGATATGAATAATTCCCAATTATAAGCGCCCTTCCTTCTTTCCTACATTTCTTCCTTCTCTCTTTCTTCCAGTTTTCTTCCTCTCTTTTCTCAGGTGAACGAGGGGAGCTCACGCCTCCTACTCTCCCCTCCCTGGAACCGCCTATGGAGAAAAATTGGGGAATCCGTCGGGAAATCAGAGTTAAAACCAGGAAAAGTCATAAACGTCTCCTGTACACTGCAGAAATATGCTCTGAACAGGATCTCTTTCACTTCCTCTATCGTACTAAGGAAAAACGCCGTATGAATATTCGAATGTTGCCAAATCTCCTTCAATAAAATGTTTAATTTTGAGGAAAGCTATGAATATTTTTCCTTGAAATTTTCAGGATCCTTCGGTGGAATTGCGAACAAAACTTTCTGAAAAATTGGAAGTAAAATATTCACAAATTTTCCCGTAAATTCGTGATTTACTGAGAGAAATTTGGCAACGCCTAAAGGTTTATACGGCGTTTTTCCTTAGCACGACAGTCTTCGGTTTTGTCAGTTTGATATTTTCAGAAAATCAAACTCATTCTCCACCTTGGCAATTGTTTCTTAACGCTAGGAGTCTTAACGACTTTCTTAAGTCCCATATAGCTCTAATTTTTCTCCTCTCTGTCTGTCATAAAGATTTTGCTCATTCTCTCCTCTTCATTCCAAGGGAGCTGCAGGAACAGGTCCTTGCCCCCGCTGTTCAGTGATTCCGTCATGGACTACATTTTGCTATAAGGAACTACAATTTTTGGCTCATTTTACAAACAACCATTAGTTTAGTTGTGCCATTAGTTTCTCGATGTAGATAGGTGCTCCCATGGAGGGGCCAGAAATTTCAGTTCCTAATTGCAAAATGACGTCCATTCCTGACGTTATAATTTATGATTTTTGGGGCTTTCGGCCGCGAGTAAAACCCGATATCGATGAAGCCGACACGATAGAGATGACTCACGGAGGTAAATATTGTTCCATAGACTCGCTGAACCACACAATACACACAGCGTTGCTATTATGCCCGGGAAATTGCACGTTTCCCTTTTAATCATCTGCAAACTTACGCAACACGAAATCGGAATGAGGTATGGATGTGACAGCATAGACTCAAGGTCTTATTTCACAGCCGGGCCAACTTCTGCCCCCCTCCTAAATTTACAAACGGCTCCTCTTACCGCATTATATCCGCTGAATGTCTATGCCGAATCGCCGATTATGAGTCTCGTCATGACATTCGCGATGCATTTTCCCCTTGCTCTCGATGCGTTGATATATCGTCACCTTCTGGCCAAAGTATCACAAACGCCATGCGACGTTTAACAATTTCCGCCGCCATTTTATTTTTTTACAGAGAAATTTTTTAACGAAGCTGTCTGAAAATTTCATTGAATTTTCTTCGTGCTGCCTACAAAATTCAGTGAAATTCTCACACAGATTAAATCGACAGGAGCTACGGCAAGGAACAAATGAAATGAGATTGAGAACGGAGACAGGAATTCGGGAATGGGTTGATCAAAGATCACAGAAAACGTTCAATTTGTGTAATCTTTATTCCTGTTTGTGACATCCTCAAGCCGTGTCGTCTCAACTCTCTCTATAAAGGGACTGCATCCTCGTCTATTGGTCCATTCATAAGATACCACTATTCGAACTCGGAAGCACGCTTGGTGCATAACCGATGAATTGAAGGAGTTTTGACTGGCTACCTGGAAATCGATGAATTTCACCCAAGCGGTCTATTCATAAGGTACCACTATTCGAACTCGGAAGCACGCTTGGTGCATAACCGATGAATTGAAGGAGTCTTGACTGGCTGTCTGGAAATCGATTAATTTCACTCAAGTGGTCCACTCATAAGATACCACTATTCGAACTCGGAAGCACGCTTGGTGCATAACCAATGAATTGAAGGAGTTTCGACTCGCTACCTGGATATGGATGTATTTCACTCGACTGATGGGTGGTTGTTATGTTGTTTCAGGAGAGTGTGCGGTCTAGGGTGGCGATGGACTTCACGGGGAGCGTGGGGCGGATCGTGGAGGACCCGAAGGAGGCGAAGGCCATCGCGGTGGCCGAGGGCAACAGCTGGCGACGGCGCTGGCGGACCAACCCGCGGCCCTCCGTCTCTCGCTCTGGCTCCGGCCTCGGGCAGGCCCTCGAGCCCGGCATCCACGTCACGCAGCCCTGGTTCCACAGCGGCATGTCCAGGGACCACGCCGCTCAACTCATCCAAACCTACGGCACGGTCGATGGGTAAGTCTCACCAAGTTAACAGGTTAAAACTATAAATAATGGAGTCTTGATTATCCGCGGTGACTGGGACCAGAGCTATTGCGGATAATCGAAAATCTTGGTTGAAAATACTGTATTTTCAAATTCTCTGCTAAAACATTCATCTCATATTAGACGTAAGCATAAAACGATAATTAGTGTAGTCTCGATTATCCGCGGTGATTGGGACTAGAGCTATCGCGGATAATCCGAAATTACGTTATTCACAGAAACGTGGTTGAAAATAGTGTATTTTTAAAATCTCTACTAAAACATTCATCACATACTAGATGTAAGCGTGGAACAAAAATCTGTGGAGTCTCGATTATCCGCGGTGACTGGAACCAGAGCTATCGCGGATGATCGAAAATCGTGGATAATCCGCAATTGAGTTATTCAGAGAAAAGTGGTTGAAAATTCTGTATTTTTAAACTCTCTACTAAAACATTCATCACATATTAGACGTAAGCGTAAAACGCAAATCTGTGAAGTCTCGATTATCCGCGGTGAGCGGTGACTGTATCGCGGATAATAGAAAATCGTGGATAATCCGAAATTAAGTTATATCGGGAAAAGTGGTTGAAAATACTGTTTTTCAAACTCTCTACTAAAACATTCATCGCATATTAGACGTAAGCGTAAAACGTACGACTGAAAACAAAATGAATTCAATAGAAGATTTGAGTGAAACTCCGCTGAGAATTCAACAATTCACTGTTTTTATAATTAAATTTGTCCTCCCGAAAAACGTATGAAGTTACAGCATTAAAGTGCAACAAAAATCATCATTGATTGTACCCGAATGCAGTCACAGAAAGCGTCATCTGCTTCTTTCTTGAAATTTTTGGAGAATAGAACTAGTGTGAGGTTGAAAGGATACTACGTTGACTCATTTTCCTCACAACTTCTATGGAATGAAATGGCCAAAACTTCAGAATTGCAACTAATTAAGAAGAAAAGAAAAGAAAATCATTTCCTCCCAGAAATGAAGCTCATCTTTTTCGATTCAAGATGTGCTTTCTTATTCACCAGATTTAAGGATTATATTCAGAAAAGTCATAATATATTCATCTCTTTTATGTTTTCAGTGTGTTCCTAGTTCGTGAAAGTCGCAGTAGTCCAGGTTCATTTGTTTTAACTTTCAAGTGTGGCTCAAAAGTGATTCACTCTCACATACAACCAGTCAGGGTAAACAATGTGAGTATTTAAAATTCTCATCCTCGTCGCATCAGTGTGTGTGTCTATCCTTCTTACTTTGTATTACCCAATTGTTTTCATGGGTATTTGAGAGAATATTAAAAATGAAGATGATATTTTAAAGAACTTTCGAAATGAGGAAGCCTGCATTCTCCAAATCATCAACCCCTAGAGAAATGATTCCTGAAAAAACTTGAAAATTTTAAAAAGACAGCTCATGAACAGGGCCGGATTTAGGCGGTGGCCACATGGGCCGCGGCCCCTGGCGGCAAATTTTGCAATTTTTTCAAATGTAGGTATCAAAAAAAAATCGGATTCAGAAAAAAATTACAAACGAGAAAAGGCGACAAAATCTCTCATTTCCTGAGAGTTAAAGTATAGTAATTTCCAATTTGTTCGTCTTTCGGTGATACAAGAGACAGCACCTTTCATTAGTCTAGTTGAGAGGGAAATCAAACCCGCAATTTAGCCTGAAGCGGCGCGACGCAGAGAGCAATGATGACGAGGACTTGAGATGAAAAGGAGTGACCCGCGGCGCGGCGATCGGCATGTAACACATATTAGCGCCTACAAGACTCCATGAATACTTCACGCACTGCGTCAATCGTAGAGTGCGGTCAGCAGCGGTTGGCGTGAAACGCATAGCGCCTACAAGACCCCACGAATACTTCACGCATTGCGTCAATCGTAGTGCGGTCAGCAGCGGTTGGCGTGAAACGCATAGCGCCTACAAGACTGCATGAATATTTCACGCATTGCGTCAAAAACAGTGCGGTCAGCAGCGGTCGGATTTTAAAGATAATATTCTCGAGTATTAAATGGTCCGTTAGGCTGCCAATTTTTTTTTTTTGTATTTCACATCCTAATTTTTAGGAAAGGACAATTCTCTAAAAACATTAATCAAACATAACAGTTTGAAAAATAAAATACTGCCTGAAAATGTACTCATCTCTTCAAGCTATATTTCATGTATTAATTGTTTTCTTTCAGACAATTGATCCTTCCTCTGAGGCGGTTTGTTTCTCTCTGGACAATGGAGCGACCAAATTCTATGACTTGCTGCAGCTCGTTGAGTTTTACCAACTCAATGCTGGGTGTTTACCCACGAGACTCACACACTATATTGTGCAGTCCTCTGCTGGTCCACGTTATTCAGATAAATCCAGTACAGAATCTTTTTAGTCGGCATGTGTTTTTGATGTTTACTTAGGTGACTTTGATTTTGGAATCCATCCGCCATACTGTGGGAAAAATAGTTCATGAAATTTGATCCCTCGCTCTTATCAGAGTTCGATCTATTTGTGTCCTTTTATCGATGTCCGATTGAGAACTCTGTAATGATTAGAAAGGATGCACACAGTGAGTTCCTCAAAGATACCCAGCTAAGGAAGAACGGTATATGAGCCTTTGAGCGTTGCAAATTTTCCTTCATGAACAAGAGAATTTCCAAAGAGACTCACAGATATTTTTCTTCCAATTTTTCCGAGAATTTCATTCAGCAATTAGTTTAAAGTCTGAAAATGTCAAGGAATAAATATTCCTAACTTTTTTTTTAAAAATTAATATTTTATTGGGGAAAAGGCAACAGCCGAAGGTTCACACATCGGTTTTCCTTAGCATGGCAGAATGTGACAGAACACCATAAATCAATCATTCTAGTTATCTGTCATGCTACAACAATATATTTTTTGAATATGCCTGATCTCTGACTATTGTGATTGACTTATGCTATTGAAATTTCAGAAAGTAGCTTTCTGAAATCATCCTAAAAAATCAGTGTGTATTAAGCACTGCAGGATTATAAGGTTTTCTTCGGGGGTAAGTGATAAAAGAATCTTGTCAGAATGTCCTTGGTGATCATAGCCTGGAGATTCTCACCAAAATTTGCTGCATCATTCGGTCAGCTCATTGAGCCCAATTTAAAATTTTCAGTATCTTCTTCATCCATGTGTGGTATGAAAGTTAAGCACGGTGTTCATTACAAAAGCAAAAAAGAAGAAAAAATAATTAGAAAGTTGTAAATATTCACCAAAGTTTCTTTCTCACACTTTTCTGATAATAAGTAAGGATTGTTGAACCGTAAAATTATACTGAAAAATTTTCAAGCCATTACTCTGGCAGCAACAACTGTTAAAAAAAACCCTTTAAAAACTTGTAGATTCTGAAAAGAAAACTCTTAAAAAATTGTTAAAATGTTCGTTTTAATGAATCTTTTATTGAATTTTTTAAAGTACGAGAGGCAGTAAATGGGGCTAATTGACTCATGAAATATCAACTGTAGCTTTTCAACACCAATGTCTGAACTTTTTTATAAAAAAAAAAAACTTTAAAAAGTAGTCATTTTTCTGAGGACTTTCTTTAAATTCGATCTCACAAAGATTTAAATTTCACTTCATTTTAACAATTTTATAAGAGTTTTTAAAAATTGCCACTTAAGAGTCATTGCTTATTAGGGTAACCCATACTATCCTCCGTATAAGCTTTATATTGTAAACGTTTAAGTGGCAGGGAATATAAATTGTGTGCAGCAATTTTGGTGTGCTTTTTATGTAGAAAACAATAGTTTCGTTTTAGCATTTAACTGGAGTCATACCTACCCAACACGGGAAGGCAGGCTAAAGAAGCAATGATATTCATTAAAAATCTACGAATGGAAGGACCACAATTTCATTTATACCACCTATTGTGGATAAATAACTTCCTGTTTTATCCACTCCCCCTATGCCTGCGCATCTGCTTTGCTTATAATTACTCAAAATATACCTTTTACCTAAGGTAGTTTTCTACGGAAGTATTCTTTCTCCTTTTTATCGGATAAGATTTGATGGTGATACATAGGTACATTTTATTTTAAATGTTATTTAATCTATCGGTGATATTAATATACAATACTAAGCAACCATAAGTTGTTTGTCAATTTTTTTTGCAAGCAATACGCTATTTTCTAATTATTTCTAACACTCATCTTTTTGTGTAATTTATGGTTCTGTTTGAAATACCCCTATTCTCCTCATATATATATATACTATCTTTCCCTCTCTATTTTCTAACGATCACAGATATAACTCAGGAAAATTTAAAGTATGGGAAAGTGGGACCTAAAATTATGACGGAGCCATTCATAAAATCAATTCATTTACATAGACTTATAAAAATGTTTTTAGTTCCTCAGCTCAGCTCCTCTCAATTTTATTTTTTCTATTTGGCGACGCATACTATGCTTCAAAATTTCCATTTAAATTTTGTCCAAGGGTGCTTATTCTCATTTCTTCCATGCTATTAGGCAGGGAGCTAGTATCTTTCATCACCTGCCTGTTTTTTATTTTTCTTTTCAGTCTAGTCTCATTTTTTGGCAAATGCAAGTATGAGAAACTGAAGTCCAAGATAGCTAGACACTCTGTTTTGTTTTACAAAATTTTTCACCATGAGCATACACAAAAAAAGTAGGATGTAATGTCGATGCATCCAAGTGTAAAATCATGTGGGAAAAGTAACAGCACTAGCTTGCTTGGTAATCTCTGATGGTAAATTTTATTTACGAACCATGGGTGTCTGAAACAAATATGTAATTGTTTCATGGAACTGTTAAGATCATGTTCACTTGAATGTGCTGCAAAGTTTTCCAACTCAGGTACATTGAAGCAATGTGCTCATTTTTATTTTTATGTGTGAAAACAAAAAAATATCTCCTGGAAACTTACCTTTTAACTTCACGTCCTTACCTGGAGCGAAAACTTTTGTCATTCACAAAATGAGAAGTAGTTTTTAAGAATTATCCTCTAACAGAGCTATTCATTGTTATTTATTGGCTCATAGTTAATAGTCTTAAGAGTTTCAATCAGTAAAAACTTGTCTCAATGTAACAGAAATTTTTGAAGGACCATGAACATGTCAAGACTGTTTTGTCTTGATACAGAGTAGCATTGAAGCTTTAAATTTTCAGGATATAGGTACCTTTTTTCTTCTTCTTTTTCCCCCTCTAAAATGTAATTAAAGTCAATGTAACTGACCAAAAAGTAACATGGCCTTGTTCAGGATATAATCTACGAAATTTTAGATTGCTCTTGAACGGTCTGTCAGAAGTTTCAGTTAACTGGCTTAAAATTGTGTTTTGTTGGTTGCGTTAGAAGGAGCACTGATTTGACGGTCTTTAGAGATTAAGTGGCAAACTTTCAAATGCACTACAAGAATTAATTAATGGGAATTGCCTTCACCCGTTTCTAATTCTTGCAAAGATAAAAAAAATGTAGCAATAACAAGAGGAAACGAGGAGGTGTCAAAAACCAACTTTTTCGATTTCTCTGGTCTGTTTAGCTGTTTTCACCTCTGTTAACCATTTGATTTCTACCTGCCAAACTATATTTTCGTGAACCTATTTTTTTCTTTTTTTTTAATAAAAAAAAAGAAAGAAAAGCGAAAGAAAGATAGAGAAAAATTATGATAAAATAATAATATGATAATAAGTGTCTCTGTAAATGTCTCTGTGATTTTTTATTATTTATAAAGTTTATTTATTATATTTTAGTATACGAAAGTATCTCAATGTGTATGTGTGGTAGAGCGAGAGCTAGTTTGTAAAAAATCCAAAAAGTAGCCATAATAGAGCTGGTGTGTTTATTTTTGTATTTTTTACATTGCTATAATGGTGAAAGAGTATTGTGCTGAAGGTATTTTCTGACCGATGCCTTTTTAGTAGAAATTTTGTACATGCCCTTATTGGATTCAGTAGGGTTAAGTTTCAGCAGTAGTAGTACCACGTATTAAGGTTGACATAAATTAGGAGTTGAAAGACTGCATGAGCAGGTCTGCTATCCTTTAAATCGATTTACTCCAAAATATTTCATGATGTCTCATCGCTTTCTTCTCCAGAAAAAAATTTGCTCTATTAATTAGGGCTAACTAAGCAAGTCTATTCAGGGCTTAATTTTAAAAGGAGTCAGTTACATGGTCGTTTCTCATTGCTTGTTAGATTACTTTTTTCAATTCTGCGATCGTCTTTTCTCAAAACATTTTTGCATGCTTACGGTTAGAATTTTTGTGATTTTTTAGTTTGTATTTTGAAATGAAAACCCCTATTTGTTCGACATTCTACATGTCCCTTCTTCATCAGAAAATGCTTCTCATCTACTCAGAACAGAGTGAAACAATGAATTCTGTCCCCTAATGATTCTTCCAGCAATGATATTTTGAAATTCATGCCAAGGCATCAAGATGCTTGTAAGCAATTTTTTGTGACAAGATATCGATTGTATAATAGATAGTTTTAATTTCAAAATTATGAAAACTCAATTACATTGGAGTAGAATAACTATAGCATGGATATTAAACTGTGTATGATTTGGAGGACTTATGAAGAAAAATCAGGATTAAAGGGAGAAAAATTTCTTAGGAAAAAAGCAAAGTGAAAATAGAGGAGTTAGGTATTCATAAAAAAAGTTGTTGAATTTTCAGTTCCTCCAACGAATTATATTTTAACTGGCCTAGTTTTCCCATTTTACGCCTTGAATTTCAAAGGTATTTTAAGAGTAAGGGCGGGACCCAAAACGTAAATTATTGAAGTAAGTTACAACAAGGCTATTTATCTCATTTTCGATACTTATGTAGTACTGAAAAGAGAATAAAACTAGAGCTGAAACAGAGAAGTTTTTATCCGTGTCTTTTTAGGAGTTATAGTCGTAAAAATTTTGAGAGGCTTCTGAAGCACAATAATGATTTTGGCATTTTATGTTGCTGAAAAAGTTTGATGTGTCGAGTTCAGCTGCTTAAAACATTTTTCTGATGAGAACTTGAATGGAGCTCTTGTGAGTATCAGAAATTTGCGATTTAGGTACTTACTCACATGTAAAATTTTGCAAAAAAACAGATCAGTACCACTGGTTATCTCTGAACTAGTAAGGGATCCTCTCAACTTTGAGGGCTTTTTTGAGCTTATGAGTTCAATCAGAAAAACCCCGTGATTCTATTTTGTTTTTCGCAAAATTTTACAAAAGGATAAATGCTTGGATTGCAAATCCCTGACACATGCAAGAGTTCCATTTTAACTAACCATCTTACATGCTCTCTCTCGACCGATCGATTTTAGAGAAGAGGGATATGTTGGTCTTATTTCCAATGGCTTGATTGTTATTGTTATTATAATTGTTGTTGTTGTTATTTTTTTTTAATTTTATTGTCATCATGCTAATTTATTTTTGATCCTAAGTCAGACTGTGACAAGAGGCATGCATGCCTCCAACGATTGACATCGCATGTGATAGGTGTCGCTTGTCAGTTGCTATTATTTCTCTGAATTCAGGAATAGCTCTTTGAGGTTTGCAGAGACTCTAAATCATCATTCAGAGATATTGTTGCTATCCTGACGTGAGGGAGGCTCTTTGATCGGAGCCTTATTGTCCATGCAACTCCATGTGTTTCGAGGTCCCTTACGTCACAGTAGCAACAGTATATCCTTTGCTGAGAGTCAATCAACAAATTTGAAGTTGAGGAGCCAATTATGAAGTCTCCAATTATCACTTCTAACAGTTAGGAGACGGTAAGAACTTTCTTTCCTCAAAAATTATCACGCTTCAAACATTAACCAAGCGCAAATTTGCTCGAAAGAGCTTTTTTTGTCGGACTTTATGAATGTGACACATGATAACTTTTTGCTTGGATACTTGTGAGTTTATCTTTCATTTTTAAATGCTGAAAAATTTGTTGAAATCGTTTTTTCTCAGTTTTACAAAAAGTGAATGTAATTAATTATTTTTTCTTTTTATTTCTTTAATGCAGCCAAGTTTGAAATGCTGAGATAAAAGGGAAAAGAGCTAATGTAGCGCAGACCTAATTTAATTCCACCAAATCACAAGCCAATCATTAGAATTTGTCACAGCAATTTAGGACCTAGATCTTTTCTCAATCATTCTGATTTCATTTCCATGATCATGTGGTCGAAGATAAGCCATCGATATTTTATAGTCTCTGTCATCATTTCTTTTTGTACTTTCTAATTTTAATTCACTTAATATAAGTATACTTTAACTGTCCAAAACAAATTCAGTCTCATCTCTCCACTAACTTTTAATTTTATTGGGTACCAATGAGATTTAGTGTAAGAAAATTTGCACTCTTTATATGTTAAGGAACATTCTCAGTATTATGAAGCAACAACCAAAAAATGTACGAGTCTTTTAAGTATATTTAGCTTAGCACGTTAGAATATCTTTTTTGTACAGATCTTTTGAATTAAAGGCTGTAAGAATTTTCTCCTTCCTCTTTGCGTAACGAGTAGAGAATTTTCAAGGGCCTTTCAAACCTTGGCTTTCAAAATATTTGTTTTCGGAGATCTTTAATTTTCTCTGCTTCTATTTGTGTTTCTTTGCCACTCTCACCCACAGCAATTTCATCCAAATTTTTAATTTTTAACTTATTTAGGTATGTAATTTTCCCCCTCTTTTTTTAAAAGAAAAAAATAGATGTTTAAGTTTAGAAAATTTATCACTAACAATGTAAAAAATTTCTATGTATGACAAATGATTAAAATTTTGATCTCATAAAACTTCGTTTTGTTGAAATTACATTCTATTTCCTGAAAATGTATGAATTCATGAATAAGAGCTCCGCCAGCTCAATAAATCCAGTTTTTGGATTTTTTCTTTTTTCGTCATTAAGATAATTCTATGGGTTAAGTATTTGCAGTATCTGCACGTGGGTGAATTCAAATAAGGGTCAAATTCCAGGTTCTATTTCCTCCCAAAATTTTTTTCTGAATTTTTGGGCAAACCAAACTTTATTTGACTATCATTAGGTGTAGACTTAGGAAATATAGCTCGGCGAGCTTAATAGTTGGGCTTAAACCCGAATTTCCACCGTCAAGTGTATCACTTCCCAAAATTTGCCGGAATTTTGCCTGATTTCCTAAATTTTCATCTCAGAGGTGACATATAATACTTTTAGTTAAAAATTGAACACAATTGTCATAAAAGCATCGTCGAGCACTAAATTAAAGCATAATTGAAAACATGTAATTCTTTCATATATTGCAGAACCAAAAAAATTAAGAAAAAATTAATCCGTCATGAAAGATATCTGGAGCTTTTTCTGCTTTTCTTTTAGACAGTTCCGTCTGTTTATCAAAATGCGCACTGTTTTCGTTTCACACGAGAAGAAGCTTTTATTTCTTGGAATATTGCAATACAAAATGGATCAAAAACACCGAATTTTAAAACTTCAAGTGGGCGTGTACCCGCTGAAGTGGTGACAAAGCCAGGAAAAGTTTGAGGACTTACATTAATATAACAATTACACCGGTCAACTTTTTTTTTTTTTTTTTTTTT